ATAAGCAAATGTTCAGCCCAAAAATAATACAAAAAACGTGACAATCACTAAAAATAACCTAAAATAACACGAAATATCAGTTTGCTACAAGTTGTGGCAGAATTGTGCGATTTTGACGCAAACTGTGTAATTCCATGCAAATGACCTCAACTAAGCTTCTCTTGAACCTGAATGATGTTTACCATGCCTTGATAATCATCCAAGCTTCAATTTGCTTGTTGTATGTTGTTTTCAACCCAGATCTGCTCAATAAGGCCGTTTAAAACTTCACACATCTTCTTAGCTCTAACTCGCGTGACTGGACCTCCTTGGGTGTGTAATGGATCACATGACGTAGTAGATATGCTGTCATCTTGATTCCCATCACAAGGTGAGATAAATAAAACTATAGTAATTGCCTTTGGATTTTAAGGTAAAGGTTTTAAATGCATATTTTGAAATATTTTTGAGATGATGACAGGACCTAAACTGATTTTTATTAGCACATGAGCACGAATGGTTTGAAATGATGTTGTTATTTTTTTATTGAGTTCAGTCATGCCTACGTGGACTTTACTTGATTGTTTAATGATCTGAAATTGGTTTGGAAATTATTAATTTTCCTATTAACTCTTGCATGGTATTGTCTCCAATATGGTCCTAATTCTTGAAGTCTGCTAGTGGGAGTTGTAAATGCTAGCACATGTCAACATCTATTCTTGGAAATCGGTTTATCTTGATTTATTTTGGTTATTCCTGCCAATGAGATAGTACATTGGTTATTCGTAATGCCTGTTAGTGGGAGTTTGTTACACATTAGTCATGACTAATTGAGGAGACCACTAATGAGTTTTACTATGTATTAAATGCTTATAACTGAGATTTTTCATGTAGTTTATGTTTTAATTGTTAGTTGGCATGTTTTAACTTTAAATAAGGGCTACCCATAATTTTATTTACTGAGATATCTCACATAACTTTTTCACATCCACCATTTTAAGTAGCGAGACCAGGGATGCAGGAAACCAAGGGGAGTGGAGTGACACGCTAGAAGGCTACCACTTATATTTTTGACTTAGTTCATTTTGGAGATAGGCTCACTAGACTAATCATGTTGGACATAGATTTTTGAGATATAGATCATTCTTTTGTAGGCCAAATTCCCTTGGATATAGTCATGACTGTACTGATAGAGTTGTATAAATTTTTGGTGCACTCTTAACCTGGTCATAACCTTGGTTATTAAAGTTAGATTTTATTTTTAGATTTTGAATCTTAATTTCATGGCTTGCCATATATAAATTAAGTAGATTTTGAGCCTTATGCATTTGTGGGATTATCTCACAAGTGTATGGCGTTTGTTTCATTTCCGATTTTGGGGCATGACACTTTGAAACAGTTAAAAATGACTACTTCAAGGGGTTATGAGCAATACAATTATTGAGTGCATCATGAATTGCTTGAAAGTTGTCATGCCCCAAAACTAGGAGCAAAACAAACGCCGTACACTTGGAAAAGGATCCCACAAATGTACAAGGCTCAAAGCCTGTTTAATTCATATCTGGCATTCCACAATCTCAAAATAAAATATAGCTTTATAACCAATGTTTGACCAGGCCAAGAGTGCACAAATATTAATACAACTCTATGTCCAAAATAATTTGACTAGTGGCCTAACTCCATGTAATATCCCAAATTTTCTGAAATTCTAGCATTTAAGTTAAAGGATTTTTGTGTGAGAAAATATTATTTTGGGGCCTAAGAGTGAATATTTCGAAACTTGAGGGATTTAAAAGAGTAAAAATTTGGATAAGAATCAGCTATTTTTTTTTTTTCCTTCTTTCTTCCCCAGCCATTTTCGCGTTTCTGCTCTTCCTTTTTCTCCCTTGCAGCCGAACAAGAAGCAAGCTGCCGACAGCCCTCCCTTTGAGAAACCGGTAAGAAAAACTTGATTTTCTCCTTTATTTTATGTTCAAGAACAAGATTTAGGAGCTTGAAATCTTTCCCCCTCTGTAGAATTCCGGATCTGCTCTGCTATGTTTCTCCCGTCCGTCTGCTACTCTTGCTTGTGGGTGTGATTTTTCCGGTTCTGGTAAGGGGAAATAGCCATTAATTCCTCTTTTCTTCCTTGAATTGGCTTGGGTTTACTCTAATTCCTCTTGGTTTCTCCCAATTTTCGGTAGATTTCCTGAATTCTCCCCAAATTCCCGCCGGCTTCCCCTAGCTTGCAGCTCCGATCTGCTGGCTGGAATTTTGGTATGTAACAGCTACAATAAGTTTGAATTTTTAGTCCATTTAGTTGTTGTTTTGTTGAATTTATCCATGTAGTGGCTGCCCTTGCACTGTCCGAAAATCTGTTGAAAAATGGGGATGAATTTCGGTAGTAATTAGAGCATAATTAAGCTTAATTCATGTATAAATTGCTTGAGTTCACTTCTGTGATTTTGGAGGAAAATCCCGAGTGTTTTAGCCCTGTTTTTGCCAAAGCCATGCTCTTCCCTTTTGCCGTGAGATTGGGAAACCATTTATATATGTATTTGTGTACATAAATATATATATATACACAATCCGGTCAATGAAATTGCTTATAGAATTAATTCTTGAATATTTGGTTAGGTTCTTGATCCTTGGGGCACTTTAGTATGTGGCTTGAGTCTTCGGTTTTATGCAATTTGAGGTAAGTAAATTATAGTAACGCCTTTCGACTTTAAAAGTATATTTTAATTTGTTTTTGAAGTGGTGGCGGGACTAAACCCGTTTTATACAAAAATGAGCATGATTGATTTGAAATAAGATTATTATTCTTTTTATTGATTTGAACATGCCTGCTTGGAGTTTATTTAACTGCCCTGATGATCTGGAAATTATATGTAAAGTATGATTTTCTATTAAATTATGCCTATTTTGTCTCCAATATGGTCATGTTATTCGTATGCCCGCTAGTGGGAGGTTTATAAACGCTAGCACATGTCGACATGTATTTTTGTAGAGCCGGTTCCTCCTGCTAGTGCGAGTTCTTAAACACTGGTATTTCTGTAATCTTGCTAGTGGGATTATACACTAGTAAATCGTGTGCCCGCTAGTGGAAGGTTTATAAACGCTGGCTATGACCTATAGAGGAGACATCTATTTCATTCCCGTACATGTATCCGTTTTCTTGATTATACTTGTTGGCATGCTATAAGTTTAATTAAGGGCAATCCATATTTTACTTACTAAGTTATCTCATAGTTTTTCCTTGTCCACCATTTCAGGAAACGAAGTCAAGGACGGGGAAAAACGAGGGGAGTGACCATTTAGAAGGCTAGCTATCTTGTAAATTGAGCATAGATTTAGATATAAATCATGATCTTGTAAGCTAGACTTTATTTGGAGATTTTATGATATCAGAGCAAATTTTATAACTTTATCTTCAGATTTTGGTGGTATCAGATTGTGGTATGATAAGTTCCGAACCTTGTGCATTTGTGGGACCCTCTCACAAATGTACGACGTCTGTTATGTCTCTGGATTTGGGTTCTGGGGCGTGACACTCCAAAATAATCTAAATTCAAAATACAAGTAACTAGCCTTCTAGCTCGTCACTCCCTTTGGTTTCCTGCATCTCGAGTCACGCTACCTAAAATGGTGGACAAGGAAAAATTATATGAGATTTAAAAATATGGGTAACCCTTATTTAAAGTTAAAGCATGCCAAATAACAATTAAAACATAAAAAAAAGGAAAAATATCTCGGTTATCAACCATCAATGCAAAGTAAAACTCAGTAATGGTCTTCTTAATTAATCATGGTTAGTGTTTAACAAACTCTCACTAGCAAGCATCAATAATAACAAGTGTACTATCCCACTGGCAGGAATAACAAGAATACAAAATGAATCAATCCTATAAATATACGTGTCAACATGTGCCAGCGTTTACAAACTTCCACTGACAGGTGTTAGTAATCATGACCATATTGGAGACAAAACCATGTTGGAGTTCAACAGGAAAATCCATAATTTACAAATATGCAAGAGTTAACAAGAAAGTCATAACTTACAAACTAACTTATCAAATTTCCAGAACAAACAAGTAAACTCCATGTAGGCATGCTTAACTCAATAAAAAACAATAGCAACTTCATTTCAAACCAATCATGCTCATGTGCTAATAAAAATCAGTTTAGATCTCCCCACCATCTCAAAAACTGTTCAAAATATGCTTTTAAAACCTTTACCTTAAGATCCAAGAGCATTTACCACAATTTTACTTACCTTGTCTTGTAAGTAGACAACTAGCAAGAATTCAAGAAATCAAGGCTGTTGAGGTAATTTAGAACCTATACCACATCAAATGAATAAACAAGATTACAACATACTCCATTTAACTAATTTTGTTCCAAATTTCAAAATCAAGCTCCAAACAACTTCCTTCTACACTTCCCAATCACTTCTACCCATTTAAACCCCATTAATATATGTATATATATTCCTATGCATAATCATACTTAAAACATGCCTTAATAGCACCAAAAAGACCCTACATATGGTGGGTTTTACCAAGAAGATTTTTTTGGACAAAACAATGTAGAAAAATGTGAAAAACCAAGCTCAAAACTACCTCAAAACAGCAGCACAAAAGTTAGGTAGTAAGGTGGGGGTTTTAACTATTTAGAATAGTCCTAAAATGCTTGGAAAAAGCCTTGAACAATGGGGATTCTTTGGGCAAAAACAACAGCAAAATAGTGCAAAATATGAGCCAAAACTAAGTGGCATTAAAGCAAAAAATGCAGTAGCAAAAAGGCAGCCAAAACAAAGTAATAACAGGGGGTTTTAGAGTAGGGAAATAGCAGTTAAAAATCTACCAAAACCATAATGCCATGTAGCAGCAGATAATGTGGAAGTAAAGTAGAAAACAAAGCAAATTTCTAGGCAAGTTCTGGTTAGATTTCGAGCCAGAAGTTCCAACAGAATTTGCCCCTAAAAATTAACCAATGTGGGTTGAATGGTAACAAATAAATTATAGCCCTATGTCTTAGCATTCTATAGGATCAAGAATCGCCTTAATCCAACACCTACAGAGAAACTTATAACCAAAATACTAACATAAGGTTAGGTTCCTAATTCTGTCTGCCTATAGAAACTGAACTTGCAGTAGCATTTTCACCTTGAAAATAGCTTAACTGGGTTAAATGTTCAAACTAAAAATTGTAGGGCTATCTCTTAACTATCCATAGAATCAATAATGAACTCAATCCAAATCTACAAAAAGAGTTATAAGCAAAACACTATTGTGTGGTCATGTTGTTAGAATTTCCAACAAAAAGGAAATCAAATTCTGGTGGTGCTAGACTATGAGTAAATCAAGGGGGAACTACAGAAAAATTCCAAAATTGAAAACCCTAAAGGATTAGAGTTAACCCAATTCAAATCAAGGATGAAAAGATAAGCAATGTGGCTGATTTCTTACTAGAAAGTGTTGGAAAGATGGTGACCTCCTCTTACATTGCACAAGAACCCAACATGGACTAGAAAATTGGGGAAGCAACAACAACATTTGGGTCTATAAGCTTATAAATCTCTAACCCTTGCTAAGAAAAGGAAGAAAATGTTAAGTCTCACCTTATTTTTCCAAAGAGGAGGTGTTGGATGTAGGCTAGGGGTTGTGGAGACAAAATTCTAGTGAAGGGTTGCAAAAATGAGCAAGAAGAAAAAAGAAAATCAACCTTAGCCCCTTTTATCACCAGATTTCACTTTTAACCCCCCTTATTTGTGAATTTTAGCTATTAGGCCTATCAATAATAATTTCTACTACATAAGTTCCTAACTTTAATTCTAAAATTTTAGAAAATTTTGGGATATTACAAAAGTAATGGGTGAGTCAAGATAGGATTCGTCTCTCTTGAGTTTATGAGAGAAGAAATCTCTAACCCTTTGATTAAGATGAGACTACTTACAAAATGACAAGAATGCATATTCATTCAAGAAGCATGTCGATCTTGGGAATCAAAAAAAGTTATATCAAGCTTTAAGAATAATGACATATAGCATGCATCTTGCTTGATGGAGATATTAGTGATGAACGGATTGATTTGCACAAGTGCATCGATCATAGGAAGGATTGTCAAAACCATTGACTTTTCTATCACTTTGGGTGGCCATGATGTGTTATTAGATACCGTTCTTAGTCTGTGAGTAATTCTAAATACCATTGTGATTAAAACCTAAAAAGCCACACATTTGGTGCATTATAGGGATTGGGATTTGTATAAACTCAAGTTTGTGGATATAGATTAATTTATGTGAAAATAATATTTTCACAAGAGAAATAAATTAATCAAGACTTGAAATAAACTGGTAAAAAGAATTAATTTAATTTGATTAAATTAATTTAAGTTTGGATTTGTTTTAAGGACAAGAAAATCTAAAAGGTTGCAATTAAGTCCTCAGAAGACTTATGGCTGAAACCCTATCCCATTAGGGTTAGGCTTAGGCTTAGGCTTGGGCAACATTAAGGGCATGGAGCCCTGGCTAAAAGTCCCAATCCAACATTGGCTGGGGTGTGCAACAAATAAAGCACAAATATAAGAAAGGAAAATCTTCTCCTTCTGGGTTTTTATTTTGACTTAAAGACTAAATTTGGTAATTATAATTGGACTGGAGTTGGACGTCTTCTATTATTCATTAATATAAATAGATGTAAAAAACCATAGATAATGGTGGATAGTTGATTTTTCCATTGTAGAATTTTAGGCCACTAAAATCATTCTACCAATAATCTTGAAAGAGATCAAATTGACTTCGTAATTGCTAACACCTTTAGAGACTCAATTTTCTTCGAATCCCCAAATGCATGTGTGGATCGCCGCTAAAGGAATTCTACACTTGGATTCTTAGGTAGCTTCATCAAAGGATGGTGGTCAAATCTATGCATCAATGAGGCATGTGTCATTGAAGTACTAATCATAAACCCTTTCTTAACTGTCAATGGATTCATAAGGATCTTAGGTGCATTGAAAATGGACATGATTAAATTTTAAAATTTTTTTGCTTCCATTGTGCCCTTCTAAACTCAACATTAAGCTTGAATTTCAATTTGAAAGCTTAAATTAGCATGAATTGCTCAATATGTAAAATTGGACATTATTACATGAATTGCCAATTTGTGGAATTGATAGGTTTTAATACTTTAATTGGTGTATTTGCCTTATTTAAGGTGATTAGAACTTGAATTGTCAAGAGGAAGAGTTAGAAATGGGTTAGAATATATTAGATATTCATGGTTTTAATGAAGGGCATTTTTGCTTTTTCTCCTAAATGCATAATGCATTATTGTATTTAACATGATATAAGTAACCGCAATTTTACAATTTAAGTTTAAGGATTTTACCACATTATGGAATGAAAAGTAAAAGTTCTACTTATTATTGAATTTATAGTTTACAATTTGATTTTAAGTAATGGACTTAAATTAATGTTTAGTGTGATCTAATAACATAATTAGAGGCATAGGCACGATTTTGGGTGAGTTTCGGCCTTAGTCTAGGTTATGCTCTAAAATGCTACTTTAGTTTAATTAGCTTAAGTGGCGTTTAAGCTTAATATGCCTAAATTACTAAGTTTATATAATATGACACAAAGGTTGACCATCTAAATGGAATAGGGAATTTAGGGATTCTAAATAGTTTATCAAGGCTTTCTATATCTTATGGCTTTGATTTCTCATATTGGAATGATAAGTACTTTCTTATAACATAATAAATTTAAAGAAAACTTAAAAAGAATTTTAAGTGCATATGTGAAGGATTGTAATGGGAAGTTTTGCTTTGGAATTGCATAATTCACTTTCTAATTCATTGAACAATGTTAATGAACTATGTTAAGAACATGGACTTTAAGAATAAAGATGGGATGAATTTTTAAGTTAGGTAGTACCAAGTTGGTGCATGACCTAACATGTATATTTGGCATTGGAATGGGGTATCTCATTGTCTAAAGTGATTTTAATTTTATCTATTGTATTTTTGGATTTGCTTATATGAAATGAGAAAATATATAAAATAGGAAAGTTATTGTACCCTAAGAAAAATGTTTCCTTAGGTGTCCTTAATGGCCTAGACATTAAGGGTTGCCTAATGTGAAATACCCTTTTTGGGAATGGAGCCTTTGACCTACACCTTAGTAGTTTATCCATTGGTTTTGTTAGGGCTTGAGTTTATATGAGGAGTTTCAATTTTATCCTCAAGGTAACTCTAGGTAGTAGGTTCAACACCAACATTAGCTTGATGATAGTGTAGCTAGCACACTTCAGTTTGACTCCATTTTTTTATATTTGTTAATTTATATGATCTATACTTTTGTATGAATTTATGTTTCTTTGATATTGTTTATGTTTGATTGAGCTACCTCCTCCTTATTCTTATCA